TGAGTGTAGGGAGTTGAGTAGTATTAGTGTGGGAGGTTAAGGGTGAGGGTTAGTGTAGGGAGTTGAGTAGTATTAGTGTGGGAGGTTAAGGGTGGGTGTATGGAGTTGATTAGTATTAGTGTGGGAGGTTAAGGGTGAGAGTTAGTGTAGGGAGTTGAGTAGTATTAATGAGGGAGGTTAAGGGTGAGGGTTAGTGTAGGGAGTTGAGTAGTATTAATGAGGGAGGTTAAGGGTGAGGGTTAGTGTAGGGAGTTGAGTAGTAGTAGTGTGGGAGGGTGAGGGTTAGTGTATGGAGTTGAGTAGTATTAGTGTGGGAGGTTAAGGGTGAGGGTAAGTGCATGGAGTTGAGTAGTATTAGTGTGGGAGGGTGAGGGTTAGTGTATGGAGTTGAGTAGTATTAGTGTGGGAGGTTAAGGGTGAGGGTTAGTGTATGGAGCTGAGTAGTATTAGTGTGGGGGGTTAAGAGTGAGGGTTAGTGTAGGGAGTTGAGTAGTATTAATGTGGGAGGTTAAGGGTGAGGGTGAGTGTAGGGAGTTGAGTAGTATTAGTGTGGGAGGTTAAGGGTGATGGTTAGTGTAGGTAGTTAAGTAGTATTAGTGTGGAAGGTTAAGGGTGAGGGTTAGTGTGGGAAGTTAAGGGTGAGGGTTAGTGTAGGAGGTTAAGGGTGAGGGTTAGTGTGGGAGGTTAAGGGTGAGGGTGTAACGAAAATATACCCCAACACGCAGAATTTAAGCTAAACAAATGTCAGCACAGAGGGAAGGTACGTCTACCGGACCTTAGAGTGGTCGGACTCGACGTAAAGGAGAGAGATACAGAGTCAGGAGCGATCCGAGGTCAAGGGCACAAAGAGACAGCGTAAACTTGGACTAGCCGGGGTCTGGTACACAGAAAAACAGCAAGCCGGCAAACAGAACAGATAAGGATAAAGAGATAACGTAGTCAGAAACAAAGCCAAGGTCAAGTACGAAGGAACACAACTGAACACAACAAGCGCTAAAGGGAACTGAAACAGAAACCACGATAGGGCAAGGAACTAAGGGAAAAATGTGAGTATATATACCTAAACATCTCATTTGATTGGTCCCTGTCACATCCACGCCCCCAAAAGGTAAGTGTATGGGGAGTGTGGCATGACAGGGACCAATGGGATGCCTTTTCCAATTTAGGCTCCCACTGTCCCTTTAAGAGCGCGCCCGAGACCCGCAGGACCGCGCGCGGCTCGTGCAGCAGCAGGACCACGGCCGGCCCCTGGAAAGGGTAAGTACCGCTACAGTACCCCCCCGAGGACACACCCTCCGGGCGGGGTTGGGCCAGGCCTGGCAGGAAAACGAGAATGGAAAGAGCGCACAAGACGAGGAGCGTGAACCGCGTCAGCGGAAATCCAACTGTGCTCCTCAGGCCCATAGCCCTTCCAATGCACCAGGTACTGAAGTCGACCTCTAAGGAAACGAGAGTCAAGAACTGCAGAAACTTCAAATTCCTCATGACCCTCCACAGAGACAGGAGGGGGAGGAGGAGTATGCCGGGTATAGCGGTTGCGTACGAAAGGGTTCAACAACGAGGTGTGAAAGACATTAGGAATACGCAGATTCTTAGGGAGACCCAAGGCATATGAAACAGGATTAACCTTATGCAGAATACGATAAGGACCAATAAAGCGGGGAGCCAATTTCATAGAAGGCACCCGGAGGCGAATGTTTTGCGTGGAAAGCAGAACCCTGTTCCCCACGACATAAGAAGGAGCCGCCCTGCGATGCTTGTTAGCCAGCACCTTCTGGCGAGCAGCGGAATCCACCAAAGAATGCTGAACCTGCTCCCAAGTATTACGCAAATTAGCCAAATGTTCAACCAGAACTGGCATGCCCTGTGAGGAGAAAGCAGCTGGAAGAACAACAGGATGTTGGCCATAGACAACGTAAAAAGGACTCTTGCCGGAAGAATCATGAGTAGCGTTATTCCGAGCAAACTCAGCCCAAGGAAGAAGGTCAGACCAATTGTTCTGATGGTGGGATACGAAACAACCAAGGTACTGCTCCAGAGATTGATTGGCATGTTCAGCAGCTCCATTAGACTGGGGGTGGTAAGCGGAAGAAAATGAGAGAGAAATACCCATTTCCGAACAAAAGGCTTTCCAGAACCTGGAAATAAATTGGCTACCCCTATCGGACACAATAGATACGGGAATTCCATGTAAACGAAACACCTGTCTGGCGAAAATAAGTGCTAGTTCCCTGGACGTGGGCAGCTTGTGAAGAGTGTGGGGATATTTACGGGATAATAATAGTAAACAGTGAGAATTGCCCACTAATTCAATTCTCAGATCCCAAAGATCGTTTATCGTGTTAAGTGGAAAGTATTTCATATAAATAAAATCACAATTTTGTTATAAAAATAGATTTATTTTATAATAAATTAATTAATAATAATATGTAACATGCGTAACAATAATCAATGAATATCCACTATAAAATGGTATGCAATACAATGGAATGGGTATACACGTTTCAATGGCTAAACAGCATTTTCTGTCAAGACTTACACGATTTATGAGGTATCTTTCACAGAGAGAAAGCTAAGCTTTTCACAGCGAAGGGCCATAAAATCCTGGCTAACAGTTAGAATAACCCTTTCAATGCTGGCTAGATCTCCTAGGTAATTAAGATCTATTCTTATGTAATTTTAAATAAAATAACATTTAAACCAGTTCATTAGTCATTTCCTGGAACCATCCAATAAGAGAATCTACCATATTATATAAGCAGAGTTTAATTTGTCTAAAAGATATCTTATCTTATATTAGAGCAAATCAATACACCTGGATAAAAACAGTGGTATGCTAACATGTGATACTATCACATTAATATATAATTATTCTTAATTCCACCTGCAGAATGGAATGTTTATAACTATATATTCTTTAGTTAACTAAGATTTCTTAATATGGAAATCTGACCGTGATTTATCCAGTCATATAGCATGCTATTAGTAAATTTTAATTAATTTAATTAATTAAATGAAACCAGTATAATTACCAGTTGAGTAGATATTTCATCCGATTGGTAGATAGTCTCAGGAACTTATTTGGATGTCTCTCTGCATGGAGGTGTGTAGGTAATTTCTGAGTGTCCTATTATTA